AAAAAAAAAAAAAAAAAAGTTACTATAATGCTGCAAATTATTTGTTCGTAAATCAATATTTCTACCTGTATCGTCCTATTTCGGCCGGATTTATTACATTTCCTCGAGTTTCGCCATTTTGGACTACCCGTAAAAGCGTGACCGACAAATTCTTAACCTCTTGCTTGCATACATCGCAAGTTTTGTTGCCTTTTATGCTGAACCATTTAATGGCACATTCTTGGTGGGCCAGTGCAAGTTCCCCTTTACAGCTGCATTCCATTTTTAGTGTATCCGAGCTTTCACTCAGCTCGACCAAACAGATTCTACAAACAGCTTCCTCTTGAGGTATATCTTCCGAAAAATTATTGTTCTCATCTGGACACAACAATTGACTAATAAGATACATTGTAGGCTAATATATATATATATATATTAAGATTTATTCAGCGAATTTCAAGATATCTCTTTTACTTGATGTTAAATTTTACCTGTGTCGGTTATTGCATTGGGGATTGATGTGGCCATATTTTGGTCGGTTGATTTGGGAGTAGAAGGAATTACGCGGTATACACTGCCTAAATAGTCGATTTGTTTCACACTTTCATCTTTATTCAACTCGGGTACTGAATGCGAACGGTGTATGGATAGCTTTGGCCCACTTTTCTGCATAATAATGAAACGAAAAAATCGTGTAAGATTCACTCTAAATGAAAATCAACTGCATTTTACTAGCTAAAACTGTATGCCATACATGATAAATTGTCCGTAAATAATTTATGGGCACATATCGATTCGATTCATCCTGTGCAGGATATTCTAATACAGAAAAATGCTACATGAGGCAAGCAAAATAATCAGCTAAGGTTACTTNTTTCTAGATATTATCTAAGTTGCCAACTGGAATGGTGGAACAAAGGGAGTTGTAGACACTTAAAAAAAAAGTGATCTTCCTTCTAAATAAATAAATTTCAAATAAAAACAAAGTACTATGCAATACTTCAAATGTCAACTTTTACTTTCGATTCTACATTACTCGATCATGATCCAAATGCACGAGGAGGGGTGATTTTTCCAAATCTCACTTCTGATTCGACTTCTACTCTACGTACAGAGAAAAAAACAATCGCAATAGACATTCTCTCAACATTTAGCTTCCTCACAAACATTAGTGACTGCTGATTCTCAACAACTTCTCATTTATGCTACATTAAACTTATGCCCCTTTATTTTCATTTTTTTCTTTTTTACTAAGTAAAGATTACACAGACACCCCGCGATGTAAAGTGAAAGTTTTGGAGAAATGCGATCCATTACATGAGTGTGAATGCAATATGACCTAAAACGTGACTTAATTATCAGAGAACAAATAATAAACCAACAAGAATCAACCAAATTCGAAAAGAGAAAAAAGCTACTCACAGATGAAGTGCTCGAAATAATCCCTCCATGAGCCGACTCTGGATTCGAGTGCAAAATCGGCGTAGCAGGCAAAGAAGACGTCCTTTTCATTTTCGGCGCGAAAATCTTTGTGAGTGAGAATGTCCTAACAACTGAACTCTTCCCTTGTGCTTCGGGAGAAACCCCAAGTGCCAGCATGGCAGCCTTCTCAATCTCGGCATTCGTGTTCCGAAATTTGAAACTCAGTTTAGGAATAAAATACTTCACGGCTGATATTCCTCGGGAGGTGGAATGGCCTGGAGAATCGCTGATTCTTATCCGGTTTGGGCTGGGCAGTGGAGAAAAATTTACTCTCTTTGGGGTATTTATTGTAATAACATTATCATCCGTGGGTCCCTCGATTATTGGACCGATGTGTGTTATATTCAAAATCACATCTTGATTTCGAATTTGCTGGTTGATTGATGGCCCTTCGGCTATTATTTCGCTTGATTCTCGGGCCTGAAGTCATCAAGAGGAAAATTTGAAGCATTATATGAAGAATTATATGTTTATGTTTCTTGTGAGTCTACAAAAAATCAAATAATAACAAATATAATAAACTTTGTTGGCCCTGAAATAGAAATGCAATCTTTACTCTAAAGACAAACAAATGAGTTGAGTTTGAATTTGGTTTTAGAGGGGATTTTCTGAAAAAATATGTCAAATGACTGTATGTGATGTGATAGATTAAGTTCATTCAAACCTACCAACATAATAATTCCATGATGAATTTTCGACATATCATATTAACTCCAAAATAACTTAAAATAACAGCTAGGGATTGATCTTATCCAGACAAGCTGAATGGATTCATTCTTATAGATTCTGAACATTACACATCCAAATGCAACCTTATTGAATCATAAAAGCAAAAGGTTCATCAGAAATCATATGTGTTCAATAATCTGAAACACATACATTAACTTCACATTAAGAGGTCAAAAGTTGTACCACAAATGCAGTGCACAAGATTATATATAAAGTTACAATCTTTACACTTTTTTTATACTAAAACTCTACAAACAATACAAAGTACTCAAATTCACTATGGCATGAAAGAAAAAACACAGAAATCAAACAAATTACCAAAAGGGCAAACAGAAAATTATACCTTTGGCTCCATATGAGGCGACAAATTAACAAAGCCTTCGTTTTCGGACAAATCTTCTTCACTTTCTTTCGCCATAGATTTTCCTCCATCAGCCTCCATTATTCGATAAATTATATATATAAAATAAAAGGTATATCAAACCCCAGAAATTATAATTCTGGATTAATTCGAAAAAAAAATAAGAATAAATGAACGTCAATTTTCTGAGCTCGAGAGATTTATGAGGAGAGGAGAGCTTAATTTCGTGCGCTACAATGGTGGGCAGTAAGTAAAACGTGTCGTCTGAATAGTGACGGCCATCATTGTGCTCTGTGTGTTACTGTGTGTGTTTGTGTTTTTCGTTTTTATAATTTCCTTTTTCATTTTCTTTTCTTGGACGAAAAGCTGAGAACACGTGTTTACACTTTTCATGATTTGTTCAGATTAACAAGATTAGGGAATTTTATCCACCCTTGTTTTTAGATGTTTATCCAATTTATTTTACAATGAGACATAGATAATTGACTTTTTAGGTTCTTAACAAATATTAAATCGTTCTTGTTTTTTAACGTCCAATCAATACACACCTAATCAAAAGTGTTTATGATCTGATGATTAAGATCTTACCGTATTGGTATGGGGAATTTTTCTAATAGAGTTCATGTCGTGTTTATAAACGTACGAAAAAAAACAAATTATTTTTATGTAAGAAAGTTCTTTTTTCTAAAAATGAGTTATTCAATTTGTCAAACAATAGTGCAATTTGACATAAATCCAATCCAGTTTAGCCAATCAACTACTTCAAAATCTACCAAACAATTTTGTATTCCAATTTTTAACTTAAAAATTCAACTCAAATATAACACAATTTAATTATCTTCAATATTATACATTTAAGTAATATTAATCAATCAGTATCACATAATTTTCAATTTATCTGCTCATATATTTTTAACTAATCATTAAATCTAATAACATATGAACTTTTACATCAGTTTAACTTCAATCATTATTTTTAACTCATCTTGAAACACAACAATCTAAAATTCCACTTAATCACATTTTTTCAATTTTAATTCACTTCATCCAAAAAATTCAAATCCAACCCAAAACAATTACTTCTACCGGGCAGTTTGGAAGCAATTTTGTAAAAGTAAAGTTTTTAAATCAACTTTTGCAAAATAAACCTCTTAAAAAGTCTCAATAATTTGAATGGAGGTTTTGGGAATTAATTTATTCATAAGTTCACTCTTAATTTATCATCAAACATAATTTAATTGTTGAAATGGACTTTTGCATAAAAAGGTCTATTTGAAACGTGTTACTGGATATGCTATAAGTATGTTATAAAGATTATAAAAAGAAATATTCTGAGCTATTTTGTTATTATTTCTTAATAAAGGAAAACAATAGGTTTATTGTAGTAATTAAAGATTATGGATTAGATGCCGAATATGTCTTTTCTTTTTTAACTAACTCAATTAAAACAAAAACAAAAGGCAATGTTTATTTTTCACGATAGAAAAATATCTCAACACGCACACCATGAGTTACTATTACGGATATATAACAATAGTAACGACTTAACAAGCAATAATTCAAAGTCTCTGGAAATTTGGGAGCAATGCTTCTTGTGATTTCTTCTCTTTTCATTTTTTTTTTTTTTATTTTTTTGTGAAAAAAAAAATAATAATTCTACCAAATTGAATGTGGGGATATATTTGTGAAATCATTTATAGCAGTTGAACTTGAAGCTCAATTATATGTGCGCTGTACACAATTTGGCAACCTAATCCATTGATTGACCTAAGCAACCTTATGACTTCCATTATTTATTACTTGAAAAATTATTGTACGACGGGCACATCTGCAAACTGCAATTAGGTTTAATTTTGCATTGTTGCTGACTTTAACGAGTTGAATATTATTAAGCTCGACTATTCTCGGTATTAACATGCAAGCGCTTGAGAATCAGTTAGAAATTTGCGACTCAAAATATTAGTAAAAAAAGGTTTAGTTTGGCATAGTAAGGCGTCGAGCACTCGAGCTTACAAACTATAGGCTTGAGCTAGAGTTTAAATTCGAGAAGCCCAAATATTGACTCAAACTCGATCAAGCTCGAGTTTAATTCGAGTTCGAGGTGTCAATCTTGACTCAAACTCTATCAAATTCGAGCTCGAGTCGAGTATTAACATATAAGTAGATGGCCCTTGCAAAATATTAAACAATTCACGTAGTTGTTCAACATATAACCGCTAGTTGATCCTTTCAAAACCATGATTTTTTTCAATTCTTGTAATATTTTTAAATGTTAAATATATAAAAAAAAATGCCATGTAGTTGAAATAGTTATTAATTTTGATATCTTTTATATATATAATTAACAATAAAAGAAAATTTAAGTTAAAAAATAAAATGAATGAATATTCATTTTTTGAAATCGGAAAAATAAAAATAATTTATTAATTATCTTGATTTTGTAAAACTAAATTAACGAGGAAAACAATCAACTTTTATATCCTTATTATGATTAATAGAAAAGTGCTACGATCATCTATGTTTTTATTACTATTATATTGATATTATGGATGAATTAGAAAATAAGGCGATACAATGGCAATTATATATTTTTTTTTGGTACACAATGGCAATTATATTTAACATTGTATAAGAATGTTTGTTTTTAAATAATAATTTTCCTATTGAAAAGGAAGAAAAAATAAGTGGTAAGATCGCCAATGATAATGTTATACTTATATCTATATATTATGAAAAGTCAAAAGGTGATGAAGTTCCTATTAGAAAACAATTACAAGTATGTGATGAGATTAAAATGATACTACTATGTCCTTATATATAGATATTTGAAAAACGATAAAAATAGCATAATTCAAAAATTAAATAATTAAAAACTGGAATCTCAAATTTTGCAAATTTTAGTAAACTGTCTTTATTTGATTTTGGATTTGGCTATATTTGGAGGCATGAAAATACATATTCTATTGGCATCTTTACTTAATTTGAACTTATGGATTTGGCTATATTTGGAGGCATGAAAATACATATTCTATTGACATCTTTACTTAATTTGACCTTAAAATCTAAGGTAAATAAAAATCTTAGTAATAAAATAGTGTCTTGTCCTTAAGTTAAAACTCTGAATATCAAAATTAGACATGCATAATCTAAACTGTCGAGATTACTAATTAACTAAAAATACAAAGATCACATAACAATTTCAATAATATGAAATAAAAACACATAAACCATAAAAGAAAATTGTATAGTAGTGGAGTTGTTAACATCAAATATTCGAATTCGATGTTTCAATCTTCCTCAAATATGTTCAAAAAAAGAAGGAAAAAAGCATTAAATTAGATGGCCTTTTGTTACTAACAAAGGCCAAATCTCATAAAAAGGTCGGATTTTCTCTCTTTTCTTTTCCACACATATAATATGTCGCTTTCAAAAGTCAACCATTATGTGATTTCTTTTATTTACATTTATATTTAGTAGTTGTCTGATAACAGGATTAAAAAATAAGAGGTTGTGCAAGTTACAATTTTGGGATAATTTAATTCAGATATTATCTTATCCAAAATCATAATCCCCTTGTCTATCTATAACTTTCGAAGGTGAAAAACCTAAATGGTATCTAGCACATATCATGCTTCGTAAACATTACTTTTTTAAGAAAATCAAATTGCCCATAAATCATTTTATCTTTTTATGAAATTACCATAAATTATTTCATCATTTCTTTACTTAAATTACTATTTACCTAGGACTAACTTTTCCTTTTTATTTAATTCATATATTAGTTACTATACGTATCCTTCTAATTTTCAAAAGTTTATAATTTTTTTATTTATATCCTATTTATCATATATAATTTATAAAATTAATATTTCAATGGTGTTCAATTAAATATCCATATTGCATATATAAAATAAAAAAACAATTTCATCTCTATTTATAAATAAAGTTAAATTTATGTATCAAACTAATTTGAAAATATCAAATAACATTATAATTTATATTTTATAAAATAATAAAAATTTAATTCACTAATACACCAGTATTTTTTTCTTAAATTTTAGGAAATTTTGAAAATTATTACATAAAATAAATGGTAAAAAATATTATAAAATATTATTCTCATCTTAAATAAAGTATGCAAAGAATTGAATGTTATTAAACTGCAAAAATAAATATGAAGGAATACCATAATTAAAAATAAGAAAAATAAATATTATATCTTAGAGAATATAAAATTTACATGGATTAGTTTATATTCTAAACTATTAAATATATGAATTAAAATACTTAAAAATTAAGAAACAATAGACTCTATAAGTATAAAATATAATCACAATATAATAAAACTTAATTGAAAAAAAAAAAATTTAGGCATCTACAATTTTATAAATATAATTAAAAATACCATTTAGATAAGTTGAGTGTAAAATGCAGGTACTATTTTGAATAATATAACTTTGTTATTTACTTATATATTATTATTATTTTATATTCATTTACTCTTTTTTGTGGTGCAAATATCAATACCTTATACCCGTCTCGTTCTAGTTTGTTACATAAACCTCACAATAGTCAATCTTATGGACGAACAAAATAACAACATAAAACATTAGGCAGAGTTGGACCTGAAGTATAAGCCCATAACATTTGGTCTTTGGGGCGAGGCCCACTTTAAACTATTTACTTCAGCTACCCACCATATGTTGCTATAATCATAGTAGATAAAAAAAATCTTAATTATCAATAAATAAATAAAAAAGAAAGTTAAGAAGAATGAGCTTGCTGAGAAAAAATATGAAAGAAAACAAGAACACCTTACAGTCTCTTGCTCGTCAAAGTCCAAAAGCCACTCTCTGCACGTAATCCGGGCGCCTTTTGCTCGGCATTCGAATCAAGCCCGTAATCTGCAGTTCGATAACCGCTCTGCAAAATTCGGCTCTGTACAGCATTTGGAGTTAAAGGAGTTCCAACTTTTTGATCATTTGTATAGAAATGCAGTTTATGTTACAAACAGTTAAGAACAAAAAACGAAAGAAAAAAGTACGCGAAGAAAAGTGGAGGATACTGAATTGAAGCATCGGTTTTGTTGTTCTGAGGCTCGTTCGATTCTTTTCGTTTTTTAGGTGATGGCGATGTTTTCGACCTCTTTTTTCCCTGTGAGGTCGGGCGTGAAACAACTGCTTTGAAAGAGTGAAACCATTCGTGAAGATTGATGAGATCACCGTGCTCTTGAGCTAGTGTGTACCTATGCAAAGCAAATAACATTTTTTATTACATAAGTCGAAATTTGTAGAAAACAATAGTGTTTGTATAGTGTTTAGAGAAGGTAAACATATTTGAATAGTGTTTGTTTTTCTCCAAAAAAAATAAATAAATAATAATAATTATAAAATAAAATGTCAAAACTGTTATAACAAGATATATGTTATGCTCGACTTACATTATAGATGTATCGTGCATGGATGGTACTGGCCCACCGTAATTTTTGCTGCAGCAAGAACATTTTAGTAACTTGTTGGACTCTAAAAGGTCGGCCTGAATTTTTCTTCTAGGGTCTCCTATCAAAGCCTAATAATATTATAATAACAGATCAGGAGTGAGAATTAAGGTACTAGCAATTTTATATATGATAATTATATGTGCAAATTAAGAAGCTGGGCAGTGAAGCTCAATGATTATGGAACCAGAGGGTTTTAGAGAAAACGTAACTGTTTGAAGTTTGTCGATATTATCGAAGAACACTATTTCATTGAGAGGTAGATTTTCAGTGGGCTGGATGTATTGCCTGATTCAAGGGCACAAAAGGAAACAAGTAAATTAGTTATTTGTTAGAACACAAAACAGGTAATACAGATTATTATAAAATTCAAGCACCATGAAACTATGATACAGCACAATGTAGGAAAGACTATCCATTCACTTGGGAATACAGAGAAGGTTTATTATGCTGGAAAACAAAAAAGTTGGAACTTTTAAGAATTTGACCTGAATTGTCAGTTACGTTTAATACTCAAGCTTTTTGTTATGACAACTGGAATATCACCTTTCGATATATATACATTTGGCACTTATGTCGCAACATTGTTGATTACAGGTTTATATTGCAGGTAAAATGATACATTCAGAAAATGATAGAGTGCACCATCTATATTTTATTCTTTTACATATGACAATCCCCAGTTTGAAGTTCTGAAAATTGAACTTAATGACACCCAGAATCGAATTCACATTTTATGAAGCAGGTTTTGGGTATATTGTAAAACTCTTACTTGACCAAACACTGTAGAAATGTAACGACTTTCTCGTTGGCTGCAGATCTTTCTTTATGCTCGTTTATGTAATTCCTGGCAGTGGGCCTCCTGTGACAAACAAAAAGAAAAACTTCATTGAGTCTACTAAGCTGATAATGTGATCCACTTTGACTACCACATACTAAAGATCCTGTATCAGGGTCTCACAGAAACGGGATATATAGAACACCAGTCAAATACAGACAAGGGAAGGGAAGTGAAAGGATACCTGGATGACTCTTTTGGCTCCCTCTTTGGACGAGTCTCCTCAGTTGTTGTCAGCGACTCTAGCTCCTTCACTTTGTCATGAATCTGCATTTATTATTAATCAGGCATGCAAATCCGAGATTAAAAAAATGAATTAACAAGCTTACATGGGCCATCATAATTTGGAAAATGCTACAAAAAGATCAACCTCACAGATGAAATGGTAAAAAAATAAAAAATAAAAGGAAATAGGAAGAGCAATAAGAATACACCCTCTACTAGATAAAATGATGATGGTTCTGGAAAAGAAGATGATTGATCAACATGATGCTGACAATACTTATGGTATTAGAGCATTTTTTGGTGAATAAGATAACCAATAAAGAGTAGCCGCATTACTGTTGTTAAAGAATGGTGGAATTTAAACAGTTAAGATGCTATGAATGAAAATTATAGTTTCAGGATTTTGAGCAGAAGCAAAAAGAATAATGGGTGTTCCTAATATGGGGAAACAAAATATATATTTGTACCTCAGTTACGCCTCTGGTAAGCACTTCCCAGTTGCCGAGCAACTTGCGGATCTCTACAGGCGGTAAATCTCTTCAAAAACATAAAAGTCAGAAGCTCTGGAGTTTATATAATTAAATTATCATTTAAAATTTCAGGTTTTCAAGAAGAATGAGATGCGCATAAGATTCACTTTTAGATCTCAGGAATACTTGCTATTAATACAAATTATTCAGTTACCTATCCGGCTATCCCAAACTATATTTTCTTTAAGTTTACTATGTGTTCGTTTTGGTGCCATTTCTAAAATATGAGCTTTTTAAATCAATCTGCTCCCATTCGTGGAAGTGTTTGGAAAATTGAGTAGCTTTATGTCATATTTTTTTTCTGATCAGAAAATAAGCAAACTATACCTCACTTTCTGGAATGCGCAAACGATGCTCTTCTCTTTTGCCAATTGCATACAATCGGAAGCGTCAGAGTTTCGTGGTTCAGGTTCAAGCGTCTCAGAGAATAAATCTAACAGGGTAATTTTGCGGTACTTTCCAACTTCAAACAGACACTGCGATAGAGTTACTCCATCAAATATAGAATTAGTATCTAAATATTAGGTAGACAAAAGAGACCAAGTTTTTTTCACATGCGTCCAAACCAAACTTGTATTTCAGTACATGAAGAAAGTGGAAGTTACTATGGTACAATAACATTTCATCTGCACAGCATTTTACCATAACCGTCAAGCTCCATAGCTTACGAAGTCTTCTGAGTTCAGACAAACCATAGGACAAGTCAGCATTATTGGCACCAGGCTGACAAAACCTAGTACAATATTTGCAATCAAATACAAAAAACCAATGTAACCAAATTAACATGGCAATTAGTTTCAAAGACAAGTTAAATCTTCAAAACCTTTGTAAAGATGGAAGATCCCTGAGCATATTTTCTTTCAATGAAATACTGTCTTTGTCAAAGCCCTGCAACATTGGCAAAAGCATGTGTGACTCGGGAGGCTTTCAATTACAAAACTAAGAACAGGACTAAGTACTCCATAAAAATAAAAAGAGAGACACTAGATTTGAATTGTTAATATTAAAAAGGTAATGAGATTCTGTAACTACTAGCCAAGAACTATATTCGAGTGCTAATTCCTACTACAGTGGAGATGTAAAATGCCAATGAGTGCATTTTCACCTGCAAATTTATGAACCTAAACATACCAGGAAAAAAATGGGGGGTGGGGTACAGTAAAGCATAAACAAAAAGCACAAAGGAGGGAAATATAAAGGTGAAAAATGGATAGGTTAGTTAATCTTGCCTCTGCACCTTCTTCATCAACTAATTTCCTAAGAATGTAGCTCAAAGGGTTTGCATATACGTGTTGGACCATAGCAATCTACAACAATAACAAACCCATTTAAAACATGCAAGCATGAGAGGTTTGTCAACTCACAGACACATAGCCAATACGATAAAGAAGAATATGGCTTAGACATGAGTACTCACCTTTAAAGCTCTAACAAAAAAGGTCAGTGTTCCATCATGCCTTAAAAAGTAATTTCTCAGGAAAGATGAAATGTGTTTTCCTATGCTGAAGCTTCCACAACTTTTCAGAAAAACAGCCTCGATAACAGCATCCATCCTTTCAGATGGGGTTCTCAAACTAAATTCACAAACAGACAGATCCAACAACGTATTTGAGCTTAAAGTGTTCCTTAGAGCATCAAAAGTCGTTGCAACTCCCAGTATCAAAATTACAGGAACTTTAACTACCCATTCCCTGTAAAGGCACCGTCATTGTTATCGACAGCAGAAAAGATATCAAGTAGACATATCTGAAGCATAACAAATAATCAATGTATTAATTACAAGCATACGTGCAGTTGGCAAAAGTGGGTTTTCATTTTAGAATCGAAATTAGCTACTTTACCTCAACATCACAATGAAATCATTCAGGACAGAACCGCAGCACCTCTCAACGTCTTCAATTATGATAACTAGTGGCTTCTCATCTTGTTCAGAGTACCACGATGCTAAAATGGACATGTCAGGAGCCTATTAAGATTTAAGAATCAAACAATAAATGGACAAACTACATTAGCTCTAAAAGTCATTTCACTACTAAGAAAGCTATATTTTCCGCTAGGTAAACAGATGCATAGAGTCAGCGACATGCTTACATCAACGCCAAGCATCAGAAACTGCCTCAATAGAGTTCTAAGACAGCCACCTACTCCATTTTTAGCAGAGAATTCTGAAGATGTGAGCTTAGCTACATAACAACCATTGGACCTCAAATGCACAGCAAGGTCCTCAAAAGCCAATATGTCATCCACGAACTCCATATTCTCTAAAGAAATCGGCATATCAAAATTATAGTCATCCGGCAATAAAATAAACAATAACCTTTGCCTACAATATTGTTGAAAAAATGTGGTTCAAAGTCATCAAGGAGCAACTAGCAGGGACTTACTGGTGAAAAGCAATGCCGTGAAGATCTGTCTAAATGAAATTGCTGAAGCATTTGAAGCACCATTCATGATCGGGTAGGGACGTGTGACGCTACCCAAATTAAGAGCTCGGCAGGCACGAATAGCGTCAAAAGACTCGTGAAGCCATTTACAAATATCGCCAAACACGTCGGCGTTAAGATTTCTCAAGACCTCCTGGAATTCATTGTGTTATCAGTAATTATTTACAGAAGATAAGATATTCAGAGATATACCTTGATAATGGACTCGGTCTTCGACCAGAGAAATTTGAAGGTTTCCAACGGCAGGTTTTTGCCGGAGATGTCTGCATATCCATCTGATTTTTGGGGGGATAGGTCGATCCTCCGACGGGTTTTTCCGGTGCATTTTCGCAGGGACGCTTTGTGAAGAACGAAAAACGGCTGCAGCAAAATTTAGGAATTGTTACAATCGGTTTTGTGCCAATTTACAGTGATTAATTATACATTCGAAAGAAAAAATTACCTGGAGATTATTTTCTGCGGTGCGAAGAGGCGAAGAAGACGGTGGATCAGCCGCCGGTGCCATTCCGATCTCCGCACTCTGACTAGTGGCTTGCTCTCTTTCAGTTTAGGTAAAAGGACGACGCTGGTTTTGGCGGGAAACGGACACAGTGGGGTGGGTGCGTAAATATCTACAATTTAAGGGGTGAATCGTAATAAGTAACTCTTTGTATTCACAACATGATTCCCATTGCTATAAATATGACTAAAAATGTCTTGTAGAGAATTACTTAAAAATACTGTGTGTGTTAAAAAAACATTTATGAGTTTTCAGTCTTCTTTTGTAATTGAGAATGTGTAACTTTGATATTAGAGGCATTTTTTGTTAACTGACATTATTGTAACACGGTATTTAATTTTCATTTTAGAGAACATACTTCACATTCTTGGACTTCATTCATTTATTTAATTCAGATCACTTGATGAATAATTCATGCACATTCTTCTTAACCAATGCACATTGCAGCAAAATTTTATTTTTTAAAAGTTTTAACAAAAAATGAGATGTTTAACCTTTTCTAATACTGAGATTATTACAACTTTTTAAAATTTATTGGAATTTTAAATATGAATTACACATAATAAATTCCTACACCAAATCTCACCTTTGGACGTAAGATTTCTAAAGTATCTAACTAAAATCAACATATCATAAGAATTTTTTAAATTTAAAAAATCATACAATGTCATTAAAAAATTCACAGGAATACACCATTTAAAACCTTGAAAATCTACTAACCAAAATCGTAGACAAGACTGAAATTGCGATTTATAGATTTTTATTTTTATTTGGATGCTTAGAGCCAAGTACAGAGGAAAACAGAGAAGCCAACAAGGAACAACAAACACCACACATTTGGGCACGCTTAAAAACAAGTGCCACTTGAACAAAAACGATCATACACCATTTTTTCACGCTCAAAAGTCTGCAATTTCTATCAGTAAGAAGAGCTTCTGAACGAACCCAAAGCCTTCACCGCGCCTGCCCTGAGTACGTACTGGTGGTAGATCGCGGCTATGGCTGCTCCAACCAGTGGGCCCACCCAGAATATCCACTGCACCAAAAACAACAAAAGTTAGCAAAATTAATGGATGACAGTAAGGTGTTTGTTGAAATGCCTGTGTGGAGAAAGAAGTAAGCAAACTTACCTGATCGTCCCATGCCTCGTCCTTCCCAAATATCACGGCAGCCCCAAAGCTCCGTGCCGGGTTGATGCCAGTGCCGGTGATCGGAATCGTGGCCAGGTGGACCATAAACACGGCAAATCCAATCGGCAGTGGCGCCAGAACCTGCAGTCCCCCGACTTATTATACGCACAAATCTCGTACTTTCGTTTATTTTTAATTTTTTTTATATATTATATCGCTTGTGTATGAAAGTACAATATGATTGTTAAAAATGTATAATCGTCTAACGATTAGGCGCCACTAGAGTTGTTAAACGAAACGAACCGAGCTAGAGCTCAATTGAAGCTCGTTAGAGCTAGCTTGTTAAGACTCAAAAATAAAAAATTTTATACAATTTTCTCATTAAGGACTTGAGGCTGGAGCTTGACTAGTTAATATTGACAACGACTTTACTCGGCTCGTTTGCAGCTACTAACAACTATACAATTATTCTATATATTCTTGTCTTTTCGATGATACTTACCGGAACGTGGGAGTCCCTGGCGTTTCGTTTTGGGTCGGTGGCGGAGAAGACGGTGTAGACGAGGACGAAGGTGCCGATGATCTCTGCCGCCAGGCCGGTGCCGGTGCTGTAGCCAGCCGCCAGTGAATTGGCTCCACCGCCGTATTTAGTATAGTACGACTTTTGGAAGGCCTTCACGAGCCGGCACCCGCAAATGGCCCCCAAACACTGCGCCACAATGTACAATATGGCCCGGACGAGCGACACCTTCCGAGCCAAGAACAACCCGAATGTCACCGCCGGGTTGATGTGTCCACCTGAAAACGTGTTGCCGCGAGTTATTCAACAAGTTCATAATGGATTTATGATTAGAGCTGTTAAACGAAACGAATCGCTCATCTCACAAAGATAATATTATTTATATATCTTTATATGGTCCAGTTTGTTAAAGCTCGAGTTTGGTTTGTTAAGGATCAAACTCGGCTTGTTAATATTGATACACGAGCAGAGATCGTGCTCGAGCGAGATTAATGTCTTGTTTACTAAACGAGTCAACCGAGCTCAACTCGCTAAGAGCTCGAGCTCGAGTTCGGCTAGATTCGTTTACAGCCCTACTTAATTTTAATTATAATGGACAATACATGTGGTTGCTAAGTAAAGCTTACCGGAAATGCCGGCAGTGCAATAAACGAGGACGAAGATCATGCCGCCAAAGGCCCAAGCAATGCCGAGAATACCGACCCCGCCACACTCGTCGGCTACACTCTGGCTTTTGTACCCGATCACCGTTAGCACAGTAATGTACAAGAACAAAAGGGTTGCAATGAACTCGGCAATCACAGCCCGGTAAAGGGACCACTTGCCGAGCTCTTCTGGGTCGATTAGTGGGGCCGGAGGAGGGTCTTGGTAGTCCCGGGCAGCGTACCCATTGCCTCCAACCTCGATATCCTTAGCCATTTGCAACTTTTGTTGTTCTTGCAAATTCTCTTGTTGAGACTAAAAGAATGAGTGAGGGCTTGAGATTGTTTGGAGCTAAGACTTGAGAGAGTTTGGCAATTTTTTTGGTTGATGAGTGTGGTTTTGGGTTTGAGGGGTATTTATATGGGCCAAGGAAAAAATAGAGTCTTGATGGAATAAATTGATGGGATTGAATTTTTGTGCCGCCCCATTTCAGTAGTTTGCATCATATTGTCCATTTTAAACTCGTCCTACCACTGACTATTATCTTTTTTACCCCTACATTTTAGCACTCTTTTGTTGTGGTGGAATTCTTTTCTTTCATTTTCAAGGGAGAGATTATAGTGCTCAAAGTATCCACCTAATTTGAAGTGTGGGATGAAAGTAGGGTTGCAACGAGTCGAGGGGCTCATGCGGTCGAGTTAGATCTCGATTTGAGGTCGAGCATGTATTTTGTAAGCTCAGTTGATCGATAAATCGCTCGAATATATATGTAATTACTTAATAATCTCAATCTTTAAATTCGGCCTAAAGTCGAGCAAAATTCGCATTAAATTAGAACTGAACTTGTGCTAACAAAATTCGAGGCTATTTACTGTCGAGTTTAATCTAGCTTTACCAAGATTTACTCGTTGATCGGCTCAACTAAACTCGACTCATTTGCATAGCTCATGAAACTGTTATTTTTTTTTTCACCATTTTAATTTTTTTTTCCCATTATGAAGATCTTTTTAATGGTGAGAAGTAACTTTCTGAGATATACCTTACATTAGAAGCAAAGGCAAAATAAATTTTACTCCCACATCATTAAAAAAAATAAATAAATAAATAAATATATAAATCTTATCAATAAAATATTCCGGTTGAATTTAGATTGATGATTTCAGTTTAGTAGAACATTTTGAGAGAAAAGATTCAAATGATCTCAGTATCATCAAGACGTGTCCCTAGATAATTAAGTTTTAAAAGTATAGTTGAATAACATTTTTGCATAATATTCATTTTTATATAAAAAACGAGCCGATATACCTAATGGTTATACTGATTAATATTTTTTTGTAATTTTAAATTACATGTTCTTGTATAGAGATGTAAAATTGTTGATGAGTCGAGCCAAATTCGAGCTTGTGATACTCTAGTGGAGGCTTGATCCTTTATCATGTTGAGACGACTTTTAAATATTAACAAGTTTGAAATTGAGTCTTAACAAGCTAAATTCAAGTTTTAACAAACCGAACTATAGAAAATCACATAAAATCTTATTTTCAAACGTTAACAAATCGAATTAAAAGTTGATATCATGAATGACTTATTTCGTTCAACAGTCTATAAACAAAACCGAAGTTAGAACAACATTGAATAATCAAAATGCAAGATGACAAACATATAAAAATCATGAGAATAATGTGACCAAACATCACAAGAACCCACCTTAAATCATCAAACCTAATTTCAAAATTCACCACCACCGCCCATTACAGCTCAACCCCACCATAATTTTTCAGAGCAATGTCTCAGCCACTCATTTTCTGCCACCTCACCTCAACCACCGTGGATTCATGACTGTCTCTCTCTATACACCAACCACTAATTATTTGTGTTAAACCTTTTTAATCAAGATTATTGCTTAATCCACCAATCATTTTTTAAATTAATCCAGGGTAGAATATCTGAGGTGGACATAAATTGCCACACGTCTATAATGTAATGGTTTTCGGCTCCCAAGAATTTCACAGTATTTTTATGAATGTTTAAGTGGACAAGATGAGTTGGTCGGCTGTATCATGCTATTTTATTTGTTTTGGTTTTATCTTTTTGTTTTTTTTTCATGTTAAGAACATTATTTTTTCTTTCCCTTAAAGTGTGTGACTAAACAAACAGTCAACTAAATGAAAATAAAATGTCACACCCATTTGATGAGTATCAGAATATCTTATGTGAAAGGTGCACATTAATGAAACTGACTTATTTTTCGAGTAAAAATTGTTGTCCGACGTTCGTTTAATTGTTCGTCAATGTTCAAGTTCGTTCATGTTTGAATAATACAAGAAACAAAATTTTTAAAATTACTTGATAAACTCAATTTTGTTTGTTCGAACTACAACAAAGAAATAAAATATATGTATTGTTTTAGTTTATTATGTAAAATGTCATATAAATATATAAAATAAAATAATCTTGAATTAATGTTCAAGAATATTATCGAACGTTCTCAACGAGCTTGTGTTCCTTCGATTATTAAATAAGCCTAATTTTTTGTTGAACTCTTTTGATTAACAGACGGACGAGCTCTTGTTGTCGGACGTTCGGTTCGTTAACAATTTTACTTAAATCTAGTCTACAATGACAATATTTCTAAAATAATAAATCCAATCAAGTCAAATTTTTTTAAAAAAAAAAAGAAGAAAAAAAAAACACATCAAGCTGCTGATTGCTGATTCCTGCACAGTAATTCCAGAACGAGACTCCTCTTCTTTTATGGTCTACAGGCCGGGAGGATTCGAAATATAAAAGGTGGCAAAGCCGAATTCAAGAGCCCGGCCCACTTTGCCATGGATTCAACTTTCACCAAAAAAAACTTCAAAACCGATGTAGTATACGGGCTTTAGCTAGACAAGGGAAAAAGCTTTGTAATTGTATGAGGACATTGGTTTATGTATTTGATAATAGTGAACTTAGAACAGTATCTTCTTCTTCCTTTATTTTTCTTTTTATGTTTATATTTTCCAAATTTTCGGATTCCATTTTTTTTTTCCTTTTGTTTATTTTTTTTTTCCAATATTTACATTAATGTTGATATGCAAAATCTAGCTTATGTCAAAAAGTGGATGGCAGATGATCTATGTTCCCGTTCATTAGTATATAATTGTAACATATTAATTGGTCCAGGATAATGAATCACACGCTCTGAAATGTCAAACCACACAGAAAATCAAACCATATATTACGGAAAATCGAACCATATATTACAGAAAATCAAACCAATATCACCCCATATAACACCAACAATTGAAGAAATCATTTAGCGTTCGGAGAATAAAAGCTCAAATTTCCCGACAACCCACGCACAAACACGGGCATGATTATTGGTGTGGATCAATCAACCCAATAATGCAAACCTATCGACTGACAAAGAGAATTTACCCAAATAACCTTTCAATTTTGAACCTAAATCTCTCAACATAAATGATAAATCAAACCGAACAATCGTGCATGGCAATGTTCGGTTCAAAGTGGCTCAAATGCAACTGGCCTCGGAGACTAACATGCACAACCAACAAAGACCAAAGTAGACCACACAAAATTCCAAAACAAGTTCAATACTTCTAGCCTGTGATAAAATGTACTGATATGCAGGGCCAAGCCCTCGAACAAAGGCACATATATTCATAATCCATGAAAGAAAACGTGAAATCAAGCCTCGACTGCCAACATATAAACTATTGTTCCGTGAAAGAAAAGCTCAAAATCAAGGGTTACTCAGCATTGCCACAAAATACATCACTCGTTTTTTCAATTGCAATTAATATGATAAAACCAAGCAGAATGCAGATATTGTCATAAGAATGAGTCAACTACCATTGGCAAAAACAAGTAATTTGCACACAAGCAATTGTAGTTAGAATTACTTGAACATGATTCAACCACTGACAGCTACATAACTCAATGAGAAAACAAAGTGACTACTTAACCATAATAAAGTAATTTGCCAAACAATTGTAGTTAGAATTAGTTGAACATAATTCAACCAATGGCAGCTACATAACTCAATGAGAAAACAAAGTGCCTACTTACCATTATGCTGAGAAAAAAAAATTAAAAGTTGATTTATGGCACTAAGTAATTTGTATACAAGCAGTCGTAGGTTAGAATTACTTGAACATAATTCAACAAATGGTAGCTAAACAATTCAATAAGGAAACAAACATTAAAGAGTTTGATCATTTAGTATTTTATAAGATCAATTTCACCTGCACAAACACAAACACTTAAATGCAAGATTACCCATAATCATTAAAACAGCCATTCCAAATTTTAAATTGGGTTTCATTTCCAAGCAGCTCAAAAATTCATCAAATTCGTGCCAGCCCAGGCATTCAGTTGAAAGGTAAAAAAAAACTGAAATGATACAAAAGAAAGGTAGAAAGGAACAAAATCCAAACTCCAAGTTCATCAATCAAGAGGAATCTCCACGTCACCATCGGCAATCTCCTGCTGCAAATCCTTCGGGTCCTTCCCGTCGACGGTGCAGCCGACGGAGACGCAGGTGCCCAGGATCTCCTTCACCGTCCCGCTCAGGTCCTTCGCCATTGACCGTGGGCGCATGACCTTAGCGATCTCGATGACGTCGTCGAGTGAGATGTTGCCGTTGTGCTTGATGTTCTTCGTCTTCTTCCGGTCGCGCTCGGGCTCCTTCAACGCCTTGATAACCAGGGCGGCGGCGGAGGGCACGACGGTGACCTTCGCCTGGCGGTTCTGGACCGTGAGCTTGACGGTCACACGGAGGCCCTTCCAGTCCTTGGCGGTCTCCTTGGCGATGTCCTCGCCGATCTTCTTGGGGGAGAGGCCAAGCGGGCCGATTTTGGGCGCGAGGGAGGACGCCGCGCCGACCTCGCCGCCGGTGACACGGACGAACACGTCGACCACCTGGGAAGGATCGAACTTTGGCGGCATTTTGGGCGGCGAGTGATTGTTGGGGGTGGATTTAGGGTTTGGGGGAGGATGAATAGAGTTATATTTAGCTAGGGTTTTGGTGGGGGAAGATGCTCTTGGGGCCCAATAAATTGGGCTAAATTTGTTCCGCACGATTGGGCTTTTGTATGTTTTGGACCCAATTGGGCCAAAATTTCAAACATTCTCGTAGCGGTCGGTCAAAATTTTTTTTTTTCGAAATGATAGATTTTATAGATAAAAAAAAATAAAAAAATACAATTAAACAACAACTAAAATAAATCGAACAACTATCTAGCTGAATCTAGAGAGACTACTCTGCAAAATGCATCTAGAGACTACTCTAATTCACTTACAAGACAAACAACTTAGCAAACTAAATAACTCCTACAAGGGGAGAATAACATTAAAGGACGAGAAAAACATCACAACATAATAACAAACATCAATAAAACAACACCTAACACATAATATATAGAATAACACGCTCATCTCCACATGTCCTCAACACACCACGACCCGACAGCTAGAGACAACCGCCTACTCGGATAGGACTCCGGCTCGAGCACTGCTCCAGAAACTCTAGTGTAGCCACGGCTAGTTCAAACAACACTAGACGATCAAAATCTTCTCCCAGATCAAGAGATTTCTAAAAGTATGATTTGATGGTGGCGTTTGATTTTAACGGTATGATTAACCATCTTTTATATGCTCTTTGTAATGAAATAAAAAAACTTAATTAATACTCATAAAAAATTGTAATATTAACTACTACACTTGTGCAACTAATTAATTAAATTGTGTACCAATGACTTAGTTCCATATAATTGTCCTACCGATATTTAAAAATGGTGGCGTAAGATTTTTACCTTCTATGTTATATAACATAAGAAGGTGGACAAATCAAAAGTTTATTATTTATTCTAACAGTTATTTATTTTTTAAAGTATCCACAGTTCTTTAAGTCAATTATAGAAAATTATGTAGCACATAGTAAATAAACCAACGTACTACAAGATATTCTTAAATAAAATTAAAACTGGATATGATCTAACTGGTGTGACATCACAAATCTACTTTGAAACGTGAGTAGTGACTCCAGTGTGAGCAAAGAAGAGGGGAAGCGGAGTCCCATTCCAAATGACACTTCTCCAGTCATACCAAAACTAGTTGACGATAGTCAGGACGTTCGAAATACTGTCAAGGAAGTGGAGAATCAGGAAATTGTGGAGGTTACTACTAGTAAACTAGAGGGTTTTCATGGGGATTCAATAGCAGAAGAGATGTGCCCCCCTTCTAAAGTTAGTTTGGTTCAAACTACGTTGAGTAGTATCTCAAAAGGCGAACAACGTAAACGGTGGAAGCGGAAACTAACTCAAAATATTTCGGATATTCCATTGGAGGGTCCTGGGAAACAGATAAGGGTGGTTGAGGATGTAGTTATGGAGGACAACACCTGTTCGATTATTGAAGCGGCGACCTCTGCTCAGCAGAGGCGCCGAGAGCAATGAGTTGCCTTTGTTGGAACGTGCGAGGATTGGGGAATCCTCGTACGTTGAGATCGGTACAGAGTCTCGTCTGTAAAATTTCCCCCGACCTAGTCTTTCTGTCTGAGACTAGGTTGTCTGGTGCTAAGGCAGATAATATTCGCTATCATCTTTCTCTTTCAGGAAATTTTGTGGTGGATTGTTCGGGATTCAGTGGTGGGCTTATGTTGTTGTGGTCGGATAGATGGAAGGTAGACATCAAATCTTTTTCGGTGGGACACATTGACGCAGTTATCGAAGATCATGAGTTCAGACGTTGGCGATTTACAGGATTTTATGGACAACCGAAGGCGGAGAATCGACACCACACGTGGAATCTTATTCGTAGACTCAAACCATTGTCGAATCTTCCTTGGCTTTGCGGAGGGGATTTCAACGAAACTTTACTGTTGGAGGAACGTTGTGGAGGGGCTTTCCGGAACCAAGCTTATTCTCGGGCTTTTCAACAGACCCTCTCAAACTGTCATTTGGACAATATTCCTCTTAAAGGATTTCCCTTCACGTGGAACAATAAGAGAAAAGGATCGGCGAATATTCAAGCACGCTTGGACAGATTTTTGGGCTCAGACATTTGGTTGAATCTCTTCTCTGACTCTTGGACTGAACATATTCCCTTCTTTTCATCTAATCACAGGCCAATTCTTATTCATTTAGAAGCGAGACAAGCTCACGCGCCGGTTTCAAAGAAACGTCAATTCCGATTTGAACTGTTTTGGTTAAAAGAAAATGGTTACTTCGATGTTGTTCGAGAGAGTTGGTCGAGAGGCCCGTCTGCACCTTTTCGTCGTTAGAACAACTTCAAGTTTTTTTCGAGCCTGTCCGATTGTAGGAAAAGGTTGCAGGAGTGGAGCAAAAAGTCCTTTTCAGGGTGAAAGCAAATTTTGCAGAAGAAGGAGAAGCGCCTTCAACAACTTTATGAGTCTCCAGATTCTCTGAATTTAATGAACACGATTCAGGAACTAGAGACAGAGATACAGAAACTCCAATGCCGTGAAGAGAGTTTCTGGAAACAGAGGCCCGGATCAACTGGCTTAAGGAAGGAGATCGCAACACAAGATTTTTCCATTCTCGGGCTAAAACCAGATTTAGTGTCAATCGAATTTAGCTTACGCTGGATTGTATTTTGTATTTTATTATGTTTACTATTAGTGGAAAAAAAAAAGTATTAACTATTTCAATTTAATTTTATCAATGTTGACGAAACTTAATTACATTTATATGTCATATGAACAGATTCAAAATCAAAACATTGTAGATGTTCTTAGCATGTATAAACCCATTATAATATTACAATAATAACTAAGGAGGGGAAAAATCCAACAATATCCTTTCAAACATAGCTCTCATCTCTTTATTTAGGCTGTGTGCAACATTTACCATACAAAGCAGAAAGAACACCATAAGAGTTCATATTTACTTGTATGGGCCTGGAGCTTGTGGGCCGAGCGGGGGTGCAGCTGGAGGCCCATAAGAAAGCCCAGTACTCTGCTGTCTGCCTCGGGCCCTTCCAAACAGGTAACAGGCAATAGCAGTAATCAAGAAGAACAATATCACTGGTAAGGATATCACAATAATGTAGCCCATTTGTTTTTTTTTTGCTCTCTTTATGAAGGGGAAAAAGAAACCTGCAAAATTGTGGATTTTAACACAATTTATTAAAAATAATAAATGTTTGTTACTATATTTCGAATTAATCAGTTATTACTATTCATTTTTATTTTATTTTTTTTTTGTACAAGCTCAATTGGTTTATCCAGAAAAAAAAGTGTAGAAAATGGGAGACAATAGAATGTTTTTTATTTATTTATTTTTTCTTTTATCTGGTTTGCTAAATAATTAACAAAAAGGGAAAATTTCAAAATTTAACCAAAAAAAAAAAATTATAAATAATTGATTTCTCATGGTTTAATCATTATTAGATAGCAAGTCAAGAGTCTCGTGTTTGATCCGTGGGAAAATAAATAAATAAATGAAGATGAAAGCACCATCAACCTAGAAACAAATACGAAATTAAAAAATTAATCGCAATTTTTTCTTCAGTTGCAATTTAATCATAAATTTTATATTTTCGCACTTTAAAGCATGAATTTTTATAATTTGTAAATCGAGGCACGAATAAACGAATAAGATATGAAGAACTATAATAACTAAAGAACTACAATTTTCGATTTCAAGCAGAGTAAAAGTGTCGTGATTTGTTTTGCAATTTTACTAGCAAACTGTAAAATTTATGCCAGCAGCTAATATTTTTTCAGACAAAATTAAATAAATTGAACAAATAGCTTCACGAATCACGATGTTTAAGAGAAAAATACAAACCAAATTCAATTAATTTTCTCTATTTTTACGCACATAGATAACATAAAAAGGCATAGATACCTTCACTGAAAGCAAAAATTCAGAGCCTCGTTCGGAAATTTGTGTCTCTGTGAGCTCAGAAAACGAAGATGATCATAAAAAATGATTTCGATTCTTTTTTGCTTTTTTTCAGATTATTAGTTGTTCGTAGAGAGAAGCTAGAGAGAGAAACGTAGCCGAATCAATACCGTGCACCAATTTACAAGCTAAGAGGAAGATTCTTTATTTTTTTATTTTTTGAGTTAGAGTAAACTCAATTTTAGTTCTATATGTTTCACTATTTTAATTTTTTCGTACTCTTTGAATTGTATTTTTTTATTTTCATCTTGTATATTTGCAAAAACGTTATAAATAAGTCCTTTTCATACATAAGAGACGTTTTGTTTACAAAACATAAATGATCTTTTTGTTGCAAAACTGATTTTTTTGTAACATTTTTGCAAACATACGAAACTAAAATAAAAAACACAATTCGAATAGGATGAAAAATTTACAGTAGTGAAACATACAAGACTAAAATTACAATTTACTCCTCGAGTTTTATTTTTTGTTGGGGTTTTAGCTACTTTACTATTTTGCAAAGTAAATTTACAAATTATTGTATGAAAGAGTTAATTATTAGACGAATCGACCTGTATAATTTTCTTATTCAAAACGAGTCAAGCCAGTTTGGAGCTCAAGCTTTTATCGATCCCAACTTGTTCATTAGACGAGTTCGAGCTCATCTATTGTAAAAATGTTAACAAACTGAACTATAAAAATTAAAAATATACATAAAAATTATTATTTTAAAGCGTAAATAAGTTGAACTAAGCTCGACTTGTTAAGTAATTAATGAGTTAGAGCTGAACCAAACAAAACTTACAAAAAGTTCATTTCATTTAACTACTCTTTGTATGAGGCTAAAATTGCTTAGTACATTATTAGATTTTAATACATTGGCGTTCCACATCCGTTATGAAATCATAATCATCTTTAAGTTGATGTATTGATATATACTTTAAGGCCTCGTTTACTTCGCTTGACAAGACAGGATAAGTAAAATTATCCCTTAATATCTAACGTTTACATAAAGGGATTGAGACAGGAATGAACTGATGTGGGCCATGTGGCGCACATGTGGATTGCGAGCACCACTGCTTATCAAATATTAGAGGATTAAATAGTCCTGTCCCCCACCCAGAATTTTTTTATCCTAATCTTTCTTTTACAGATTTGCAGGCCTCACTATTTCAGACAATCTCATCCCACAAGTAAATATTGGACTAAATACTGACATAGAAAATTGTCCTGATTATTTTCTCTAATCCCATCAACCAAAATAAATAAGGCCTAAGTATACATATTTTATATAACATATATCGATACACCATTTACAAATAATTATAAATCAGTACGACACACTTGCACTATAAACAAATGAATTTATGACGACATTTTCGGTTCTAGAAAAAACTTAATTTCTTTGGTGCCAAAATAGAATGTCATATGTATGGTAGAAAAGTCATCTTGAAGATTGTTTAATGCTTACTCTAAAACTCTTTGTTTGTAATGTAGTGATATTTTTTGTTTTTCTATTTACCTCTATTTTTGAATTCCTATCTATTGATTCTAGGCGTGAAGAATAAAATAAATCAAGTTTTTCTCCGTTTATTTTTTTAATTTTCTTAGGATTTTATCTTGTTTAACTACGATTTTTAAAATTTAAAAAATAAATAAATCAAAGTCATCAGAAATGAAAAGAGAGGAATTCTAACCAAGGAAAAAAATAGTGTTTATATATTTTATTGAAGTTAAAAAAAAAATAAATCAATATATAACAATTTATAATAAAGAGCTAAATGAATCTACAATATCATTTTAAATTTTAAAAACTAATCTATATAATAGTTTTATTTATAATATTTTTATTCAAAATATAGAAGAAAATAATATAGACAAGGCACAAATTTTTGAAAAGTAGAATAATATGACAGAAAAGAATAAATAAATAGAATGAATTAGATATATTAAATATGTGATTTATAACAATTCAAACCCAATTTATTTGATATGAACAATTAGTACTTTTTATCTGAGCCATACCTATAAAGTATAGTATTTTGTCACATAAAGATTACAAAATATTAAAAAAGGTGGTACTATTTACCGCCCCCCATTTTACTACTCACCGCCTCCCTTGGACGATTTTGCCCTTTTCATTTTTTCTAAACATCTCAGAGGAAAGTATACGGTGAATTGTCATCAAATTCGAAGGTACGAAAATTTTTGTGTCCGACCGCCGAAACCGGACGGTTTATAAGCCGTCCGGCCGAACTTTCCGGACGGTCCGTCTGGTTCGACCGGCCAGACAATTTTTTTTTTTTTTTTAATTTTTATGTTATATATTCGAAATAATTATGCTATAAATTGAACTATATTATTATGTTATAAATTATTATGTTACATTTTAGACTTGATTATGCTATAAATTGGACATTTATCGTGTTAGAAGTTACAAATTATTATGTTACATGTTGATTATAATATAAATTGGACGTTAGATATTATCATGTTACGAGTTAGAAATTATTATTTTACATGTTAGACTTGGTTATGCTATAAATTGACGTTAGATAGTATCGTGTTAGGAGTAACAAATTATCATGTTACATGTTATAGTTGATTATATTATGAATTGGACGTTAGATATTATCGTGATCGTTTTAGGAGTTACAAATTATTGTGTTACATGTTAGACTTCATTATGCTATAAATTGGACGTTAGATAATATCATGTTATGAGTTACTATTTATTATGTTACATGCTAGAATTAATTATCTTAATTTAACATGTTATAAAAATATAAATATTGTACTATATAGCAGGAGTCATGGGAAGATTTTGGAGCAGATGGTGTTGATTACAGTCTGCGTTTCGATACCTGTACATTATATAATAGTGCTCAGGACGCTATTGAAGCTGCAAAACACCAGACAATGCTGAATGGTTTCCTATTAATAATTTCGAGCCACAAAAAGAAAACGGTCAGGCTTTTGAAGTGCCATAGAGGCGAACAGTACAGAGGCACAGGCGAAAATTCTAGAAAGACAAAAACGAATAAGTGTAGCTGCAATTTTGAGATCAAAGTAAAAAAGGTGTCCGACGCTCCATACTGGAGGATCTGTAGATGTAGCAATGAAGAGAAGGGCTGCCATAACCATACATTTGTTGTGTATCCTGAGGGTCATCGCCAGTTGAGCGGCATCAGCGCTTCATCTAAGAAAATTGTTCGTGACATGACGGACACTCAGGTGGCCCCGACAAAAATTATGGCCACGCTGAAGGAAAAGAATCCGGGAGACAATGTTCATGTGCGACAGTATATATATTTATATCTTGTAATATATGTTTTAATTAACTTTTTGAAGTTAATTATGATAATTAGTAATTTTTTATATGTAAAAGTTATTGTAATAATTAATAAATTTTATTATATTTACTAATGTATTATTATTGTGATAGTTAAATTTTTTTTATCAAATTAATCGCATTAATATACTTTTTTATTTATTAACATAATATTTTTTTCAAATTATAATAATCATTATAATTAACGCTAATCGGTAACAGGTATATAACTTTAGAGATAAGCTGCGGAAAGAGAGTTTCGACGGTAGAGACGTTCCTTCCCAGCTTATGCATTTGGCCGTGAGCAGCGAGTATATAGTTTATGCAGAATCCGATCCGAACACGAATGCATTGACGTATATATTCATGGCCCATCCTGCGTCGATCAATCTATTCCGGACATATCACTAGTATGTCGGCATAGATTCCACGTATAAAACCAACAGGTATGTTACTTTATAAATACTTTATTAGTATGAATCTTAAATAGTGTGTTTGATTAAGTAAACTTTATTTGATTATATTTTTTGTCTTCTTGGTCTCATTTGCACAGGTACAAGATGCCGCTGGTCGAGATGATTGGGATGACACCGTGCAACCAGAACTTCCTAATTGCGTATGCGCTCATCATGGACGAGAAAGAGGCCAGTTACGATTGGGTTCTAGAGAAGTTGAGGCTACTGATAGGCCAAGACGTATATCCTTATGTTGTTGTCAGTGACAGAGAGTTGGGTTTACTCACTCGTATTCAGAGGCATTTTCCTGAATCAGCCACTTACTCTGCACGTGGCACATCAACAAGGATGTGGAAGACAAAGCCTACAAACTATTTGGG